GTGTGTGTGTGTGTCCGTGTGGTGTGGGGAGCTGAACCCTCTTCCCGCTCCCCACCCCTGTCCCAGGTGATCAAGGCAGTGGAGGACGGCTTCCGGCTGCCGCCCCCCAGGAGCTGCCCCTCCCCGCTGCACCGCCTGATGCTGGACTGCTGGCAGAAGGACCCGGGTGAGCGGCCCAGGTTCTCCCAGATCCACAACACCCTCGGCAAGATGGTGCAGGACCCCGAGCCCCCCAAGTATGCCACGACCACCTGTCCCAGGTACGACCGGCCTCCCCTATTCCCAGCTGCATGCCTGCGATAGCCAACCTCTCACTGTCCACGGCCTGCCGCCCTGCCCCCACATAGGTGGAAACACCTCCCCCTACCCCGTGTCTACTTCACCAGCTTTTGTCCCTTGTGCCCCAGGGACACAGGCGCACCGCCTCAGTCACCACGTATGGTAAGAACCCTAAGACAATTGGCAGTGGCGGTAAATAAAAATAAGTGAAATTCATGTCCGTCGTCTCGAACATGGACAACCTCCCTGCCAAGGCCAGGCGTGTGCCAGTGCCAGCCTGGTCCCAACAGTCCTGCTCCCTCGAGCTGCCACTTGCCACTGCCCTGAGTACCTCGTAACCCTCACCTGCTCCGGGCTGCCCGCCCCGTGTGAGCTGGCATGGCCCTGGGCCTTGCTTGCCCTCCCCTCCTCCTGTTCTTCTTCAGCTCCAGAGGGTCCCCAGGCCTAAGGGCCAGACGCCTGCCACCGACTCACCCCAGCTCCTCTGACCCCAGGCCTCCCACCCCCCTGGCGGACCGTGCCTTCTCCACCTTCCCCACCTTCGTCTCCGTGGGTGCATGGCTGGAGGCCCTGGACCTTGGCCGCTATAAGGACAGCTTTGCTGCAGCTGGCTACGGGAGCCTGGAGGCGGTGGCCGCGATGACTGCTCAGTGAGTCTAAGGACCTCAGGTCACAACCTGGGGTAGGGGACCAGGGGCCCACTGGTGTTCTCAGCCCATATGGGAAGCCCCGTCTGCCCTGATTCGAGGCCCTTCCCGGTTTGGAGGAGGAGGGGGCTTCCTGGGGGGCATCATCCATGGCCGGGCCTGGGCTGAGCAGCCCTTGTTTGCAGGGACCTGGTGAGCCTGGGCATCACGTCAGCTGACCATCAGGAGGCTCTCCTCAGCGGGATCAGCACCCTGCGGGCACGAGTTCTGCAGCTGCAGGGCCAGGGGGTACAGGTGTGAGTGGCCAGGACTTGGGGGGGGGCGGTCCCCCGACCCCTGGCCCCGCCCACTCAAGAGCGAGAGCTCTCTTCTCCACTGGGGCCCAGAGCTTGTTGGGGGCCACAGTGTCCCCCCATTTTACTGTCTGATCCTCACCTCCCCACCTGGATGCCTCAGCTGGATTGGTGCCAGCATGCCCACCTTCTCTTCCTGCCTGGGAAAAAGCTGATTCCTGGGGCCCCCCCCCCCACTAAGAAGACAGCATGAGGAAGCCCAAGGCCTGAGAGGAGATGGGGCAGGGTTGAGAGGGGCACGTAGGTGTGCCTCACCCTGCTCACGGGCCTCGGTCTTCGACCCCTACGGCACCGGCCCCCACGGATGCCCCTTTCTCAGCAGACCCACTGAGAAACAGTGACCGCAGCTACCTGGAGGTCTAGGTCTGAGAAGCAGGACTGAGGGATTGGGTCCTAGTGGCCTGGGCCTGGGCTGGGGCCTACCTGGACTCTCCAGGCCGGCAGAGGGATGCTGCGCTCAGGGCTGGACCCTGAGGGCCCTGAGACAGGAGCTGAGTTCTGCTTCACCCTCTCTTGGCTGGCAGCTCAGGGTGAGGGCGGAAGTGCTGGTGCTCACCTGGGCCCCACCAGGCCTCCCGATACATTCCTATGGCAGACTCGCTGGGGGGCACCCTGGGAGGAGCATGACCAGAGGTGCTGCCTCCTTGGAGGCCGCAGAGCCTTGCTTTCCAGCCTTGGGGGATGGTGACGAGGAGACCTTCAGCACTGCATCCTCTCTTGCGAACGGGGTGGTCCAGCTCCCTATTGCACAGATGGAAAACTTGAGTCCCAGCGAGGCATCAAGCGTCAGAGCTGGGCTCAGAACTTGGATCGCTCCCATTCCGGATCCAGGGATAAAAGGCTGGCTCGGCCTCACCCCGTGCACCAACGGTCTTCCCTAAGGCTGCCCGAGGACTCCTCTGCTACTAATTCCTTCTGCAGGGCAGCGGCCCTTTGGCTTCCGGCGTGCCAGAGTGCGGCGCGGAGCCTGCGGGAAGCACAGGTGCTCCTGAGCCTGGGGCTTTCAGGACCCTGGGCCTGGCCACACTCCCGTGAGGTGCCCAGGCTGATTTTGACTGTGTGTGGTTGGGCTGGGCTGAGCAAGAGACCAGGGGTGGGTAAAAGGAGTGGGTGAGAAAGAGGCTGCCTCTGGAGAGTTTAGACTAGGCCGGAGAAGGGCTCAGGCCCCACGAAGTAAAGAGGGGGTCTTCAGATGGAACGCCGGTCCCAAAGGGGAGAGGGGGCCGTGGTGAGCTGGCTGCAGGGTGGACGGTGCTGTGTGGGTGTGGAGAGGTACTAGAGGGGCTCGTGGCTGAGGTATCAGTTGAACAGGCCCTTGGAGGGTGGTGGAATTTTCAGCAGACCAGAAGGACCTGGGGCGCCGGAGGAGTGGAGTCTGGGAAGGCAGTGTGTCCTCGGGGAGCTCACAGCAGTGCCTTGGCCTCAGCCTGCCAGCAGCAGCTTCTCTCTCCTTGGGGTCCCTCCCACCCACCCTGCGCCCCCATCTCCTGCTCCCTGCTCCAGCTCATTTGAGTCTGGGGGTGCTGGGGAGACTGAGGAGCTCCCATCGTTGACAGGGTTAGGGGTCTCCGGCCAGGTGCTCTCTAGGCGCTGCCTCCTGCAGTGTTCCTGTTTGCGGTGGGGGACCCTCATCTTCAGGAGCACCAGCCCCCCCATACTGTCCTGCAGAGGGACCCTGCTGTGTAGACAGGACTTCGGTGTCCAGGGTAGATCTCCCCTCCCCGAGGAGCGAGGTCCCAGAATTCTGATGGTGCCGGGCCTGCACTGCGCAGGTGCCAGGCCGGCACGGGTGGCCATGGCTCCCAGGAACCCCACACATCTATTTTTCTACAGACCTTGTTCATTCGACAGTGGGGGAGGGGGTGCCTGCAGCCCTGGCGCCACCCATCTGAACCCACCCAGGGAGGGAGGGGCCTGGCTGGGGAGGTGGTGCCCATGACTCATTCTGGAAATGCTTTTCGATTTCCTGGGTTCTGTCTGCAGGACGAAGTAATAAAGCCCTGTCTGTGACGCAGCCCCGCTCGCTCTCAGGATGCTTGCTGACCACGGAACAGTGTGTGCGGGAGCCTTTCTGTGCCTCTGCTCCCACCTGGGGAAAGGGGGCTGCGGTCTCCAGAGCATGAGACTGAGCTCTCTCCACCCTGCCAGAACCCCCAGCCACTGGGAAGGGGGGTTTCTGGGAGAGGGAGGAGTCTGCCCGACTGGTTAGGTGTGTAGCCAGGAACACGGCCAGTGCTTGCTGGGTTTGAGCAAGGTAGGAGCCAGGTGGACAGAAATGGATGCAGATTCCTGGCTCTGAGCCCCCTGACCAGTGTGTCCACCTCACCGAGCACCACCCAGGCAGGTAAGACCACACCTCATAGGCCAGGTGACAGCAGAGTCCTGTGAAAGGCCGGCTATGGGGACACAGCCTTTAAGCATCCTGAGGAGAGCTGTCCGGCGGGTCCCCTAGGAAGTGTAAGAAGAACCCAGCCCGGGAAGATAGGGTGACTGGAGGCCAAGTTCTATGCAGCAGAGAAAGGCCTCTCAGCTAATGCCCCCTCCTCACGCTGCTGGGACGTGAATGCCTCCTGACACTTCACGGCAACCTCTGCTGTATCCAGGCCAACTAAGCTCCCCAGTTTTCAGAGGCTGAAAACTGGGAAGTAGAATGGCAGGCCTTTCTTCCGAAGCACCTCTGGGTGGATGCTAAGCTTTCGAATGAGCAAATGTTAACATTTGCAGGTCCAGGCCAAGGACTCCTACCATGCAGTACTCTCCCTAAGTCTTTCCATACCCGTTGGCCATTTACACAGAAGAGTTGGCCACTCCCCTGGAAGCACCGTGTACTGCTTGTCCTCCTCTTCCTCAGGCTGCCCCTGCTGTTTGAGTAGCTGGACCTCCCAGACCGGGACAGTGGAGAGCATCAGAAAGTCTCCTGGTTCATGGAGAACCCACGATGCCCATCTTGGGGCAGACTGTAGGGAATCATGAGTTTCACCCCAGGGACTATGTTTTGACCAAGAGTGCTCAGTTAACATCGAAAAGAATAATAAAGTAACCACCTGTTGGGTACATTAAAGAAACAAACCCTCAGAAACCCATATGTATAAGAGAGAGTTTTATATAAAGGATAAGTGCACATCAAGAAAACATCCCAACCCAGTGCTGCCCAAGCCCACAAGTCCAACATTATCTCATATGTCCAACACCAATCCACAAAGTCCTCCTCCATCTCACAAAACACACACAATGATGCCAACTGCAGGAGGAATGCTGAATCAGTGAGTGTGTAAGCATCTCAGCACTGGCAGGGGTCTCCACGCGGCCGCTCCAGCACCCAGGGCTGCATCGGGGTAGGCCCATGCGGCTTCTTCTTGGGGAGGTCTTGCAGGAAGTGAGCCTTGCCGGCTGAAGCAGGAAACTGGCTAAGGCAGCTGCACCCTGGTCCAACCATCAGAAAGCAAGAGACCCAAGAACTAGAAAGGCGAGGCCCACCTAGCCATTTATCGCTCCGCCCTTCAATTAGCCCCACATGTGTTTATCGGCCAGGCTGGCACAATAAACCTTAACGACCTCACTGTCTTTGTTCCCCATTGCAAGCACGTTAGCCTCCCTCCAAACCCGGGCTTCATCTTTGTGCCCCCTCACTCTACTTGTTCCGGCTGGGGCGTAAAGGAGCACAGTATATTTGCCAGTCAACTTCTTGGAGCTGGTCATCTGCCTCCATCCCCACAGCTCCTGGCACACTGTGACACGGCACTGGCACTCAGACGGAGGCAGGGCCATCCTCACCACATCCAACACATGGACGTATACCACCCAACATGGGGGGCTGAGGGCACCGATGGGGCAGGGGACTCACCTGACAGGCAAGGATGATAAAGACCCACTGCTTTCCAACTTGGCCAACCTTACCGAAGCAGACGGCCACATCTTTATCCGGCAGGGCAGCTGGAGTTTGAACCACTCACCTTTTGACTACCAGTGGATCGCTTTAACCTCTGAGCCACATGGGGTCTTAGGGATTCTAAACTCGCTGCCACCAAGTTGACGCCGACTCAGTGACCCTATAGCACAGGGAGGAACTGCCCCTGTGGGTTCCGAGTCTGTCACTGCTTACAGGAGTAGACAGCCCTTTCTTCCTCAAAGCGGCTGGTAGTTTTAAACTGCTGACCTTGCAGCTCGCAGCCCAACCTGTAACCATGCCAGCGCCAGGGCTCCTTCAGGTATTCTGAAGGTGGGGAAATACTGAATCCTGGGGCAAGATGGGAGACCACCTGAGCATCCTGATCAAGCCGCCTCCCAACTGAAGCCACACGAGCTATAGGACATTAACATGGTGGGCAAGCGCAGCTGTGTGGGATCAATTGCCCTTCTGAACAAATCCAAGGGAGTGCTTTTCCCAGACCTGTACTGGGTACACTTGTGGTTGAAGCTGGGCGGTTAATCACTTCACGCAAAAGGGTCAGTCTCATATGCTGTGGAGAGAGGCTTAAGTGAGGTGTTTCTGCTCATGCAAACGTACACGCACCCGTGCACCCACCCAGAACTGTCATTTATTCGAACTCTCCCTAAAGCAATGCGTTTGAATCCAGAGTGCTGGGCGTGGAAAGTGCGGGCTGTCCAGGGCACAAATGCTCACTAGAGCTCGTCCACCCGCTGGGGCTCCTCTGCTTCCCACATGGCTGGGCTCGCCCAGGGCTGGCGGCCTCAAGCTTGGTTCAGGGGTCTGTGACAGGGCCTCCCTCGTCTTAGTGGGGGTGAAACCGCCGGGGCCCATCCTACCTTCAACCCAGAGCAGCCCTGCCCGTGCTTGCTCCAGGCAGTAGAGCTGTGTGGGTAACATTTGGGGGGTGGGGTAGGGGCCTGGAAGGCTGCTGCTTGGCTCACTCCTGGTGAGGCTGAGGCCAGATCTTCTATGTCTGAGGTGAGCAGACTAGACTATACTTTTGTGTTGGCGTGAAATCCAATTTTCAATTTGAAATTAAATAAGACCTGTCTTCCCAGACATACATTTCTAGCTCACGGGACGAAGGTGCACGGGGAAGGCTGCGCCTACAGAGCTTCTGTCTCAGGTCAGGGAAGTAGCTGAAGCCGTTTCTGGGAGAGGCCCCCCCCCCTCCCCCAGCACAGATGACAGGCAGGCTGGTATTAAAAATCAACCCCACATTTATTGAAGACAGGTAACTTTTAGTAGCTCTGATGACAAGTCCATTCAGAGATACGCTGAAACGTTCAGGAAACGCTACGACACAAGTCTCAGGAAAGGGACGAAGACACCTCAAAAGAACACAGGCTGCACAGGACGAGCCCACTAGGGACAGTCAGGCAGCACGACACACGAGAGAGCCAGGCAGCCAGCACGAGGAAACTGGTGCGCTGTTAGGTCTGTCTGCGGGTGGAGGACTCGGTCCCCGTATTCTTGGAACAAGCCCCATGATTCTTGGTGGCAGGTGCTGGCTGGAGTGCAGGGTCGCACTGCCGCGTGCCAGAGAGCCAGTCCATGGCCGGGGCCTAGGTGACACACACAGCAAGGCCACCACACAACTACCTGCTGGCCGGCAGACCCCGCAGGAAAGAGGCGTTCCCTGCCAAGTCTACATGCCTGCTGGGCCCACTGGACTGTGGGTGGCCCGCCACACAAAGACCCAGGATGAGCTGAAGACCTGCCGTTCCCTCACCCCAATTCCCAGCACTCAGGAGGTAGAGGAGCAAAGCGAGGAAGCTGCCTGCAAACCAACTTTTGGTCTTTGGTCAACAGGGATTAAGGCAAACTCTCCTGGGAGTCAGAGCCACTGGGCACGGCTGGGGCCGTGGAGAAAGGGGCAGGGTGTGCAAGGGGCGAAGTGCCTATGTCGTGTCGCCCTTCAGCCCCTGGCTCTGCCCTCCTGTGGCCTACAGCACCACATCTCTGAGCCCGAGACCGTCGCACGTGCACAGAGAGGGGGACGCAGGCAGTGTTCTCCACTGCGGAGAGGCAGCAGCCTTCCTGGGGTGTGGAGTCCCCCAGCCCCTGTCTGGGGCGTGCTGTGCCAAGGAAGGAAGACCGGGCTGGGAGGATGACAGGGAGCTTGATGTCCTGGAGGCAGCAGGTCACGCCAAGGGTCCCCTGGGTTGGGAGGTGTGAGGCTACAAGCAGAAGCAAAGCTTTCTCTAATGGAGGGGAAGCGCGTCTGTCCCTCTCTCGCTCCCTCTCCCTGGAGTCCCTCAGAGGATCAACATGCAAACAAACAAGCTTGAAGGAAAGCGGCCTCTCCCAGGTGGGCAGTCCGGGAAGTGCCCGTTGCAGGTGGATCCTGGTGCCTCGAGGAATAGCAGCCTCACTTGCGGGAATGCATACTGTCGCAGATCTGGGCCAGGCGGCTCTGGGGGAAGAGGAAGGGAGAGAGGGAATTAAGTAGACGGCACCTGACACGCCTGCCCAGGGAGCTACTCGGTCGCGCCGGGGCCAGGCAGAGCTGAGGGACAGCAGGGCCTCCAGCGGCTGCCTACCCACACCACAACCCTTCTGATCGCCGCCGCTTATCTGAGCGAGCAAACAAGTAGCACCGTGCACGAGACAGAGAATTTGGAAGCAGCCATGCTGCTGTCCAGCGAGGTGATGACTGGTACAGGATCTGGGTGGCTGGTTCTGCATGGACCTTAGCAGGAGGATATGCTTGGACAGCCAGCTCTGCCCTTGTCCTTACCCTGGAATGCACCCTTCCCTGACCCCACAGACGGTGTGCCTAGGCACCAAGTGCCCTTACCCACCACCCAAGACCACGGCTGACTGGCCCAGGGATGGCCGTCTGACCACAGATGAGCCAACTGAAGGCGGCATCTTATATGGAGCAATACAGTTAAGAGTTGGAGGTGTGGGCACCAGAGCCACATTCAAGCCAGCACCAAGGGAGGCCAGCACAACACATCTCCTGGAGGGTAGTGCTGGGTCTGGAGCTGTCTGCGTGGGCACGGCGATCCCCACCATCCCCCTCCCAGGAGCCTGGCAGCACAGCTGTCAAGCCCCCGCCACCCCCATCCCCACTCCCTGAAAAGTCAATTATGAGGGCGTTTCAGCTCCTGCCAACCAACCGTGTCCTGATGCCCTGGCACTAACTGCCCATGGGAGGCAGAACTTTTCTTCCACTGTGGAGCCTCTGTGGCCAGCCACCTGGGACTCAACTGTTGCCACGAAAGCTCGCCAACAGCCGGCCCCGGAGGGGACCTTAGCACTCACGCAGCCTGAACGAAGCTGTGACGGGGTGCCTGTGGTCGGAGACCGACTTACCGAGAGCTTCTTTATGTTCCCCAAGGCCTCCGGGGCCAGCTGCGTGATGTCCATTTTCTGTAAGTCACTGGCCAGCAGCCTCATGCTCTGTGTGGGAGGCAGGGTGGGCTCAACTGGCATGCCCTTTGTGGCGGGACCCCCCCTTGATACTCCACACGTGGTGGAGGGGATGGCTGGGATGGAGAGACAGTGGGGCAGGCAGGAGGGGTGTGACTTGAAGGTGACACTGACACAGGTCAGTGGCTCTATCACCCAGGTGCAAAGGCAAATGCATTACTGCAGGAACGCTGGGCGGCTGCACTCAAGAGAGGCCATCTTTCTCTCTCAGCAGCTGAGAGTGCCACCTGCTCCCTCCGCCCGCTCCAGAACCCACTTTAGTCACACAAAGTGGGGCACACCAGGTTCCCTGTTTCCGACTACGTGTATACCCCTTCTTTCCCCCGAAGGTCTCTCCATCACAGGAGCCTGCTGCTGACCAGTGGGCAGGACATTTGCCCCGTTCAACTTGGGCCTGCTACCAGGCAGGTGAGCAAAGGGAGCCCCAAGTGGGGCGGGGAAATTTCCAGTCTGCGCCTTGAGTCTGGGAGCGGACACTGGGTCCTCGGCCCGTGGAGGGTGGCGATCAGGACTCGGGCAACTGAAAGGACTGTGAGGGGGAGAGGTGGGCTCCAGACCAGGGAGAAGACACTCGAGGCCCGCAGCACGCTACAGGTGGGCTTCCCTCGGGTACGTCACCTCTCCATCACCCACTGGCACGGTGAGGAAGATTTCCTTGCTGTCGGCGAGAGGGCTGCCATTGACCGAGATGTTGTAGATTCGCTCTCTGGCTGCGGGGGTGCGCAGGCCCGGGGTCTTGAACACCCTGTGAAATGGGGAAATCTCTGTGAAGATGGCAACTGGAATGATGCCAGGTGCTTCCGCCTCCATCTATCCTCCAGTCGCCCCTCAGAAGGCGAGCGCTGCATTTGGGGAGGCTGTTTTGAAGCGCGAATGACTAAACACAGCTGGAGAAAGGAGGCTCTAATTACCAAACAGGCACCGAGCAGAAACAAGTTGGTATCCATGTAAATCTGAGCCCCGCAGGGGTGGCAGCCAGCCACAAAGCCAGAAATAAACTTGGGCGCCTGTGCTGCCAGCAAGAGGGATTTTCCAGAGTCAAACTCACTTCGTCAAGGTGGTTAAGATGCTGTGCCCCATTCTCCCAGGAATGGGGGTAACAGGTGGTGATGGCGAGAGGGAATGCAGGAAGAAAGTTGGCTTCCTCGCCTCCCGCCCCCAAGATACCAGCTTTCCGACTCCAGGCCGAGGCTGCCCCTCTCACTCGGCAGCTGTCTACAGTGAAGAGCAGGTGCCCCTCACGCTGCCTCCTGTGGCCTTTACCCTGGCTGCCGGGCGAGCGCGCGCTCTCCCTTGGGGGTTGACTGCAGTTCACGAGCCGTGCCAGCAGTTAACGTGCACTGCTGCTGAACGAAAGGCTGGGGGTCCCGAGTGACCCAGAGGTGCCCGGGAAAAAAGGCCCGACAACCGAATTTCAACACGCCCTCTGCCGAACACCCTAGAGCCGAGCTCTTCTCTGGCGCAGTCGCTGTGAGTCAAAGCCACCTGGGTGGCAACTGGTTTGGGTGTGAAGGTTTATGTTGCAACAGCATCCTTGCTCGTGCTGCCCTCCAACAAGGTGGTCATCACACCTCACTCCTTGTCACCAAGAGCACACCAGATGCCTACTCGTGGGGACCAGAAAAGACTAAGAACCAAATCACCCAGACCACCCCCGGTGAACGCTCTTAACCGTCGCTCTCATGTTGGTGAGGAAGAACGGAGACCCACCCTCAGCGGAGAGGCCAAGAGAGGGAAGGAGGACGCTGGCCTCCTCTGGCTGCCAGGCTGAGGGACCAGGCCTGCTCTGACAGGTGTTAATTCCCCAACCCAAGGGCTTTGCGCCCCTCTCACCTGGAATCAAACCTGGGTGTCAGGCGCGGGGTGGGTTTTACCATTGACATCTCCAGTCGGCTCATGGCAGGGGTAACAAGGTTACAGCGGCTTGACCTGGAGGCGAGAAACAGCCATTCGCTGTGGGCCTCCCAGCAACTCGGGGTGGGGGTGGATGGGAGGCGGCAGCCAGACAATCCTCCTCATTTCAGAGATGAAGGGATCCCGTTTGATCTGCCCAGGATCACAAAGCGAATTAAGGTGGAGCCAACCTCAGACCCTAGGAGCCCACCCCGGAATGACCTGCAGGTTCCCTCAGCTGGAGTGCCAGTCCTCCTGCTGGGTGGCTAGTTACACTAGGCTGCCAGGACTCAGGGAGACCAGCCACTCACTCTAAGCCTGTCTGCGATGCAGCGCTCCCCTGCCCTGATGGTCTGGTGGAGTCCAGGAGCACCAGCTCAGGCCACGGGGGGCGGGGGTGCTCTACTGAGCAGGCACTTCATTTGCCCACCAGCGGGCAGCATTGCTTACCATGGGTTTCAGGGCCCAACTCTCCCTGGCTGCCTTCAAAAGGAAGCGGGGGAAGATGGCGACTGTGGGCGGAAGAATGCAGAAGGTGCAGGGCTAGGGCACTTCTGGAAGCCCCTTCAGCTCACTGAAGGAGTTGATGACTTTCAAACTTAGTTGAACCCCAGCTCTGCCATGATGTAGGTAGCTCTTCAGTGAAACCAAGGACACACGTCCACACTGGGAGAACCCATTACCTTTGCCTTTTGCCTTTTCCTTGTACAGACTGGGCTCTGTTCTTGGATGGAGGGCACCTTTTTACCTGAAATCACAACCAGGGAGATGGAGGTGTCAGCAAGCCCAGTGGAGAACAGGAAGCAAGGGTCGGAAGAAAGGCAGGGTGGGGCCATCAGCTGCAGCAAACGCCCATCAGCAAGCCTTCCTCAGGAAACAGGGTGTTTTACACCACTGTCTACTGCCTGGGTCCTCAGAATACAGGATGCTGGCCAAGACTCAAGGTGAACTTACATAGTCTGACTGCTCCTCCCCATCCCACCCCCACCAAGTGCTGCTATGACAGTCACTGAGGATAGCCTGGGCGCTCAACCCCAGGGACCCTCTGCAGATGTCACCCTTCTTGACTCAGCTCACCAAACACTCATGTCCCAGCGATTCTCGCCCCGCCTCCAAGACTCACCTTCCCCGCTTCTCTGGGTGCCCCTCTGCCGCCTGCCTCACTCTCCTTTTTGCAGCCACTCCTGGGCACCCCCAAAGGCCCTGCACAAGCACATCTACTGCGGTATTGGGACACCTGTCTGAAGTCCAGATGTCCCGGAAAAGTATTATAAACAGTGTAGCAAATGTCACCTTCCTCACCAAGTCCCGCAGCTCGCTAGAGGGCACTAGCCCAAGCCAGGAACCAATCAGTCATCTCTGGTGCCTCCAGAAGCCCTGCCCATTCTTCCGTTGAGATTTTTTTTAAATCAGTTTATTATGGGCCCATACAACTCTTATCACAATTCATACATACGTCAATTGTCTAAAGCACATTTGCACATCCATTGCCCTCATCATTCTCAAAACATTTCCTCTCCACTTAAGCCCCTGGCATCAGCTCCTCATTTTTCCCCTCCCTCCCTGCTCCCCCCTCCCTCACGAGCCCTTGATAATTTATAAATTATTATTTTGTCATATCTTGCCTTGTCCGACGTCTCCCTTCACGCACTTTTCTGCTGTCCGTCCCCCAGGGAGGAGGTCACATATAGTTCCTTGTCATCGGTTCTGCCTTTCCATCACCCCCTCCCTCTACCCTTCCAGTATCGCCACTCACACCACTGGTCCTGAAGGGATCATCCGCCCTGCATTCCCTGTGTTTCAGGTTCCTAGCTGTACCAGTGTATACTCTGGCCTAGCCAGACGTGCAAGGTAGAATTGGGATCATGACAGTGGTGGCGGTGGGGGAGCATTTAGGAACTAGAGGAAAGTTGTATTTTTCATCGTTGCTACATCGCACCCTGACTGGCTCCCTCCTCTCCTGTTTAGATTTTATCTCAAAATCAAAACCACCCCTAAGCCCTTTCTTACTAAGGGCCAGTGCCTTTAGTAAGCTGATACAGGGAGCGGGGTAGGGGAGAGAGAGAAACGGAGTGGGACAGTCACACAGCACTGTGCGGTGACTGTTGCTGATGTGTACCATCAATTGTGCTCAACTGCAGCCTGTTTGGTGATGATGTACTTACAATTCAAAAAGGACGAGAACCTCCCAGTTAATCGCGTTCCTCGTCCCGCCCCTCTCATCTACCTTGCATACTGGTTTCTGAAACACTCGTCTGGCGAATAAAACGCACTTCCGAGGTGGCCTCCAAGGTCCCTGCCCCTCAGATGCACATCCACTCTCCCTCCCTGCTCCTCCTGCTAGGGAAGCCTCCCTACCCTTTCCGGCCTGGGATAGCTACGACTTAACTGGAGCACTTAGTACTTGCCCTGCTCACACTTTTGTTACTCATCTGTGTAAAGGGGGATCCATCTGATGACACTGTGAGCAAGGAGAGCGACTCTTATCCAAGCCCGAGGCCTCTGAGCCCTTCCTCTGCAGCCTGAGCGCCTACTTACTCGTGTAGCTTGAGGATTCTTATTTTCGTCCTCTTCTTCTTCCACTATCATTTCATCCACTTGGATTGCCTTCCGTGCTGTAAGAAACAGGTTGGCAGTGTGATGGTTCTGATGGGAATATACTTTCAAGCATCCGCATTTCTTAAAAGGGAACAGTGACCATCAAGGGAGAGCGTGAGCGCCACGAGACCGGTGCTGTCTCTACGTGAGATGGCATGACATTTTTGTGGCGTGAAAGAATGTAAAACCCCTTTGGGTACCGAACCCAGAGAAACATTCTCCACAAGGCATGCTCATGGAAAACAGGCACCACGATGATCTTAGGTGGAGAATGAAGGCTGTTTGGGACGATGTTAAGGACTCCTCACGTGGAAGGAGCTCGATGGTCTGACAGGTCGGCAAAGAGCACAACTGGTGTCAATGTGCAGACACCACCGGGAGTTTTCCAGCAGGCTTAGCTGCCTAGAGAATATAAAGCAGTGCCTCTCAGGGCTAACAATGTACAGAGTCTAGGGAGTCAGAGAGGCAGACGAAATTCATGCACTGAATCATGGGGAGAGAAACCAGACTCAACTACTTGTGTCTTAAAAAAAAAAAAATCAGCTACAACCCTGACACATTAACTAAGGGCACAAAATCAATTTTCACTGCTGCTGCTATTGGCTCTGGTTCGTTCAGTTTGCAGAGGTGAACCAAGAGCAGTCCTGCACATTCCCCTCCCCACCCCGCCAAACACACCCGTACGCCCTCCAGAACTGATGAGATTAGCTAAAGTCTAGGACGGACCCAAGATGACCTAAGAGATTCTAAATACAGGGCTGAAGGACTCTGGGAACACCGGGTCCAGTGTCGTCACCCCGTCTCAGGGAGGCCGGTAGGGGTGTGGCAGTAGGAGTGCAGACACATCATGCAGAAGGCAGGCCAGAACAGGAGCAGTGTTTCTGGCCTAGCATCGGGAAGAAGGCGGCCTGGGGGGCAGCCAGGAAACACAGACCCTGGGTCAGGGCTGTGCTCTCAAGAGCTCTATTCAGCTTCATGACCAGACACGAACTCCACATCACAGCTCGGTGAGGCCGAGTCCAGGTTCACGGAGTAAACCTGGCTTCCCAGGGAACTTGCCTGCTAGGACAGTGGTTCTCAGCTCTCGGGACCCGAGTGGGAGCAAAGTTTACTTATGTTGACCCCTGGGCTGACTGGCATGGAAGGACACACTGAGAAAGAGGATCTTTTTCATTTCTTGTCCTCCCTTCCCTTCAGGGAGAGGCTCTGGTTGATATTACCGAGTCTAGAACGCCTCTTTCATTCTCGCTCCAAACAAGGAGTGGTTTCCAGCTGCAAGGTGTGGACTCCCTTTGCTCCATCTGGCTGAGTCAGCGCTAACAACTTGGCCTTCAGGCTGTGCCTGAGTTGTTGCACACCTGAGGCCAACCAGTGGAGACTGACTGGACTAAAAGGGATCACCCGTGGGCTCGATCCCTAAGAAGGCATGCTGTAACCCATCAGTGCCTCGTGGGGAGGCTCAGAAGGGGACTCAGTGGAACTTCTGAGCCCTTCCCCATGGACATGGGAATTCTATACCATGCATTTTTTGTTTGCATCTTTTTTTCTGCTAGGTTAATGACAGCCCTTTCCCTGGGGTCTGAGTCATTTCAATGAATTATGGGATGAAGAAATAAGAGGTGGAGCCAGCACTGAGCCCTAGGCAAAGGAAGATGGGAGAGGGCTGTGCTATACCCCCTGGAGTCTGGACTGACAAGGGGGGCGGGGGGAACAACACGACAACACTGAAGTTTCCCCAGGACACGGTTGGTGTGTGAAGGGCAATTTCTTCCCACTGCACATTTGGCACCCGAGGTGGATGATCTCAGCTCCCCAGACTGGTCTCACACGGACAGTCTGGCTCCCCGCACCAGTCTCTGGAGAGAGCACGATGGAATGAATGGAATGGCTAAAATGCCATGTCTGGGTCCACAAGCCTGAGGAGACATCAGCGAAGATGTCCCACCAACAAGGCCGAGTCTGAGCAGCCACCCCACCACCCCAACCTCGGCATTCTCAGGTCAGACGGGGCTTTGAAAAGCACTCACTTTTGGCCGATTTCAGGGGTGTCTGGATAGCTTCTGCCGTCAGTTTGTTTATTTCTGTGATGTCAAGGTCAGCCTGTGACAAGGACCACCAGAAAACACCAGGTCCATCAAGTAAGGAACAGTATTTTCAGATGGGAAAAAAACCAACCACTTACTTTCACAAAAGAGGATTTGATACATACAGTGCTACATGTTAATTTTAACAAAATATAAGACTCCCATACACCCACCACTCAACCCGAGACCCGGGACATCTCCCCAACACTTGCTTCCAGCTATGCCCCCTTCCCTGCTCTGGTCCATGTCTCTCCCCTTCAGGGGCCCACTAGCCTCACAGTCATTCCACGTGCCTTGAGAAAAATATCTCAACCACAAAGCCAGCGATTCAAATCCCCTAGTAGCTCTGTGAGAGAAAGAGGAAGCTATCTGCACGGAGATTTAGTCTCAGAGATCCTATAAAAGGCCAGAGCTGGAATTGACTCACCAGTAATGGGTTTGGGCTATCTGAATTATGATACATACATGCATGCTATTGCATGCATACATATAATATACATTTTTGACTGCTCTTTGTGGTTGTAATTTGTTTCCACTGCTGTGTAGTATTCCACTGGGAGGCTATACCCCAATACAATTTTCCATGCCCTGGTCTACAGCTTTCTTGCCACCAAATACTGCTATTTTGGGCCATGTTATACCTGTCTCTGAGGCACAAGCTCAGACTTTCTCTGAGGCACAAGCCTAAGCCTTCTCTGCGCTGTCTCCTTAAGGAGAGGGCACCACCACAGGGCTATAGGGAAGGCATGTATGCCACCTTGATGTTACCCCACATTGTTTCCCAAAGTGACTGTGCTTGCTACGGTCTCACCAGGATCCAATACGTGTCCGCAGGATCCACACCCTCTACCACACTGGGCCGTCTCAACGCCTCACTTCTGGCTAGGTTCTGGAGTCATTCTAGCTCAATTTGCTAGCCATGGTGACAGCCACCTCTGGTTGGCAGCACCAGAAGCAGGCATGGAGCACTGCCCCTCCTTGTTGCCCCCAGGCCAGCTGAGCCAGCATAGCTGCGAGAACGGGAATGGTGCGGCCTCCTCTCTGCGTTGGTCGGGCTGCATGGAATGCTGAGGAGGATTCTAAGCGTGGAGGAAACCGTGCTGGGGCACAGCAGCGATTCTCCTGTCTCTACAAACAAGTGGCAGGGTCTGAGGGTCACCCTGGCGGCAGGCCACTGATCACCCATTGTGTGAAAGAGTTAAGACAGCACACTGAGCCTGTCATGCCAAGAGGTCTACTTGCAAGGCTGGCCATGGCTAGCACTTGGGAATTTGGGGAGGACCCTCATTATTCCCTGGTCATAATGGTTCTTTACGCCTAGACAACAAACTATGTCTGACAAGGAACACCTACTTCCCTTCGGGGTGTCTAGATTTGGGTACATGCTAGGCAGATTGTAAGGATCCCTGGTGGCACAGTGGTTTAAACACTCTGCTACTAACTGAAAGGTTGATGGCTTGAACTCACCAGCTGTTCTGTGGGAGAAAGATACGGCAGCCTTGGAAACCCTGTGGGGCGGGTCCTATAGGAGGATCATTTTGAGTTGGAATCAGCTCACTGGCAGTGCGTTCAATGGGTAAGCAGAGGGTGCCCACATGGCCAAGGGTTTAAAGCAGTGGTTCTCAACCTGTGGGTCGCGACCCCTCTGGGCGTCGAAAGACCCTCTCACAGGGGTCACCCGATTCATAACAGTAGCAAAAGTACAGTTATGAAAATATTTTTATGGGCGGGGGTCACCACAACATGAGGAACTGTATTAAAGGCTTGAGGCATTAGGAAGGTTGAGACCACTGGTTTAAAGGAACGCAGGCTTATAGATGTTTCCCCTTGCAAAGTCAGGGCAAAGGACGGCCAGGAATCTGCCGCCTCCAAACAGAACTGCCTCCAGTCTTAGACCTTAAGAATGTGGGCCTCTCTTACTTCGCGTTTGATACAATGACAGCTTTCCAGTTGACAGGTACAGGTTACGTCCCCAAGGAACCTCTTCCCCAGTAAGCCCTCACTGGATGGACTCTGTGACTGGATTAAGGACATAAACAACAGGTAGAAAAAGGGGCAGGGCACTTACTGTTGCTGCCTCCTCCAGGGCCTGCTTGTTCCCTCCGAGGGCTTTGAAAAGAACATGGTATTTCGTTAGCACTGATTAGCAGCGTAGCGCGCATCTTCCCTCGCACGGCCTGGCAGCTTTCTCCAACTGGACCAGATGGGCCCCCTGCCCAGCATTCCAGGACTGGCACCATCTCGTCCTTCTCCACCCTGGACTCTTCCTCATGGCCTCCTCTACTGTTATCGGCGAACTCCTGCACCAAATCCTCACCTCTAGGTGTGTACCGTCAATCTCATTTGAGAACTGGCTGTCTGAGTTGTTAATGAGGAGGGAATGGTAGAGGATATGTATCTTGCAAGAGTCTCTGCTGAGTTACAAGGACTAAGCAGCAAGCAGAAGCAGAGTGGGAGAAAGATGCCAGTCACATAATGATCTCCAAGCTGCCAGAGATGGAAAGCCTCCCCACACCCCACATTCAGACTTGTAGTCCCCGCAAGCAGTGAGAAAATAAATTTCTGTTTGTGAAAGTCACCCACTGGTGGTATTTCTGTTATAGCAGTACTAGATCTCTAAGACATTCATGTTCCACCCCCCTCCCGGAACGGCTTGTCATCTCCCAAATGTGCCCCTGTCTCTCACTACTGTGTCCTGGTACTTGACTCTTCGGCCTGGAATATTTCTTTGCACTCAATAAACCCAGAATGAGGAACTCAGAGATCCCAGAGTCGAAGTACAACAGAGCTGAAGTTTGAGCTCAGGGGCCTTGGCACTCTGCCCCTCCAACCCTTCATTTCCTCTGCCAGTTTGACGCAAGTAAGTGCTCGGTTAGTTGCTCATACTCTTCCTGCTCCACCAGTACTGGGGCCGTCTTTGCCTTGACTGTGAACTCCTGGAGGACAGCAATATACCCAGCTTCTGGTAAAAAGCTGCACATAGTAGGTGCCTATTCTGTTCTTGTAGCATTATCACTTTAATTACAAAATCTCGTGTGTTTTAGATCACCCTTCTCCCATAACCTGTAAGATCCCAGGGCACAAGGTCTGTTTTAACCCTCAGAGCATCTTCAGCACCTAGCACTGTGAGAAAGTATTTGTAGACACAAGGAAATGAATTAACTAATAAATAAAGGGGCGAGTGGAAAGGCTCACTGACCATCTCTGCTGCAAGTAGAGGAATCTCTGGATAGTGCAAACAGTTAATGCGTTCGGCTGCTAACTAAATGGTTAGTGGTTCAAATGCACCCCAACGTGCCTTGACACAAAAGCTATGTCCTACAACTCAACCAATAAAAACTCTAGGAAGCACAGTTCTACTGACACATAAGGTCACCCTGAGTCAGAACCCACTGGATGTTAGCAGGTTCGAGTGAACAGAACAGGAGTTAGAGGCTGGACCCTGGGCAATCCCCAACCCCAATAGAAAGGGCAGCTTCCTTCGTTTCCCTGGGCGTGGAGCATGGGGAGGGGGAGGGGGAAGCACAGGCTGAAATGTCCCTCGTAACCTTTGAGTCTTTACACTTCACAATGGGCTTTGCTCAATATTACATTGGCCATGGCTGGAAGCTGCAAAAGAGCTCCCTAGGGCCCACCCTCCTCCCTGAGCTCTGGAACCAAGCCAGGCTGTTCATTCATCCAGCTAGTAACTGCTTGTCACGTTCTTTTCTAGCCCTGCCCTTGTGGCACTTACATGAATCTTGGTGGAATGTGAGGACATGTTACTAGGGAAAATAAACAGGTAAGAAAGACATTAGCTCTCACTCACTGCCATGCAGTCAATGCTGGCTCACAGCGACCCTATGGGGGAAGGGGAGGGCTGCCCTTTTGAGTTTCTGAGACTGTAATTCTTGACAGGTGTAGAAAACCCATCTTTCTCCTGCAAGGTTAGATCAGGCATCAGTCAACTTCCACCCCGTTTTGTTACAGGGCCTGTGCGCTCAGAATGGCTTCTAGAATTTCCTAAATGGATGGAAACAATGGCCGATGAAGCAGATCTCCTAACGTGTCAAATTCAAGTTTCCGTGTCCCTCATTCAAACTTCATGGGAGCCCAGCCATGACCACTTGTTATCGTGGCGTGGAGTCCACACAGCAGCTCGGTATTGACAACAGGAAGTCTCTGACCCATGGAGTCACACGATCTGCTTTCGAAGCTAGTCCTTTTCAGAAACAGGCCGCGCGGGGGTTAGATGGAGGGAAGCGCTGAGGAAGAACAGAAGGCAGGGAGGGGCGCGGTCGGGCCGCGGCCTCCACGAGTGGCCAAGGAAGGACGGCATGAGGCTGGTGGCGCGCGAGCGAGTTCTTTCCGGAGGCCTCTCTGGAACCGCGGGGAGGGCCGGGGCCTGGGGGCTCGTCCCCCGCAGTTCTTACCGAAATACTCGAGCCAGTTCATCTCGCGCAGCGCCTTCGGGAGCCGCAGGATCTCGATGTTGTACAGGTTGTCCATCTCCTTGAGGAGGTTCTGCCGGTCGGACTGAATTTGCTTGGACCGGATCTGCACTGCGAAAGGGCAGAGCCCAAGGGACCCGGGTCACCCGGCGATGCCCAGGGCCCGGAAGCCGAGCCCCAGGCGTCCCAACCCACCGGCCCCGGCGATCGTGCCCGGCGGCACCTCGGCCCGGCCCCACCCCTCACCTTCGCGGTCGAAGTCTTTGAGAAAGGAGGAGAGCTTCCGGCTCCGCAGCGAACTGTTCTTGGTCGCTCGACTGCCGCGACTGCCGCCTTTCCTAGCCGGAGCCATGGCGCTTCTGCGGAGGCTGTGGAGAGCCGGGGTCCGGCCGACACGGAGTCAGAGGAACGAAGGAAGCCGCAAGGGGGAGGGGAGGGCGCAAAGGGACCGTGGGCACCTACCGTGGCCAGCGGGGGCCCTCCTCCTTCTTCGGGGCCTGGGCTTAAGAAGGCCTGGGTCTTGGACCTGCGGGTCCCAAAGACCAGGGCTGAGAAAACCCTCGCCGTCCCACAGAGAAAGAACCGGCTCTGTGGCTAACCGGCCATGAGTCCGCCGCCACTAAATTCAAACTCAACCGCTACCGGCTGACGAATGAGAAGTCGCCGTCTTAGAAGAGTCCCGCAACATCCAATCACTAGGAAGCATCGCAAGCCAGCAGCCGGTCCACAGGAAGAACTACAACCCCCAGAAGGCATTGCGGGCAGCGACGCGCTTCCGCGCCGCAAAAGCCCCCAGGGCATGCGCAAGGAGAGCGGCGTGTCCTCCGCCTTTCTTAGCCTTAACCGAAAGGTTACTACCTGGTGTCGGGAAAGCGGCGGGCATCCTTAAAAAGGGCTGGCAAGATCCCGGTTCCTGGAACAGGCGTCTGAGGGAGAAACAGCCTCGGCCCCGAGAATCCGCACTCTGCGGTAGGAGACTCCTGAGTGGGAGTGGAGGAGCCCTTCTTGAGATGCGAGCCCAGGAGCCCGCCCTCTGAGAGGGAGCCTCTTCTGGGGGAAAGGCGGCCTCACAGAAGGTAACCCCGCGCTGAGGGTGGGTCCTGAGAGCGGGCTCTCACGCCGAACAGAAAAAACTCCCACCCGTGACACAGGAGCCCCGGTGGCGCTGTGGGTTTTGCGTTGCGCTGCGGAACCTCCAGGTCGTGGGTTCAAACCCATCCGGCGCACCAGCGGGAGGAAGCTGAGATGGTGTGCTCCGGTGAAGACTGACAGACAGCCCTGTGTAGGGTTGCGCTGAGTCGGAATCCACACGGCGATAGTGGGTTTTGGAGTCCTGGTGGCTTAGCGGTCACGGTTGGGTTGCTAGCCGCAAAGCCTGCAGTTCGAAACCACCTGGTGCTCTGTGGGAGAAAGACGGGGCTTTCTACTCCCGCACGGAGTACCAGTCTCAGAAACCCACAGGGCCAGTACTCCCCGGCCCTTTGGGTCGCAGTGAGTGAGCCCCCCACCGACGTGGGGCGTCCCAAGACAGGTTCTGTAGGTCGGTTTCTGTTTCTTTCCGCAGACGATGACTTCAGACCGGCCTTTGCACGCCGTGCAGGCGGCGCTGCGGAGGTGCTTCCCGGAGGTGGCGGCGCAGCAGGGCCTGTGGCGGAGCACCCTGCGCGACTGCCAGCCCTTCCTGGCGTCCCTCGGCAACCTGGCCGAGCAGCTGCAGGCCGCCCAGAATGTGCGGTTGGGCGACGTGCCGGCGCTTCGGGCCTTCCCGGACTTAGCGGAGCGGCTGAGGGACAAGCAGCTGGCTGCCGGGGACACCGCCCTGGACCAGCTCTGGGAGAGACTGTAAGGGCCCATGGTGCGCTGGCTCCCCAGAGAGGGTACTGGGCGGCTGGCTGCTTTCCTCTTTGCTTGAGAGCGTGCCACTTGGCGCCTTGCGCTTCGCCCCTTTCCCTCTGTTGCACTGGGAATTCTGTCAGACAGCCTCTTACTGGTCGTGGTCAGCAGAGGCCAGGACTCGCAGGGGTGAGTTTAGTTGTTAGGGACTGGGGAGGTCGTAATAAACTGCCCTAAAGGAGAGTAGAAAAGGAGTTGAGGAAGCTCATTAGTGCTCTAGGGTTTCTTTCTCTCTCTCTCTCTTGCCCTCCCTGGCTCTCCCTCTCTCTTTGTTTTGTTTGGTAAAAAACCTTGATAGGTTTTTACCACTGATTTTGACTCAGTGACACCACGGGGCAGAGCAGGATCGCCCAACAGGTTTTCTAGGCCTTTATCTTTATGGGAAGAATTGCCAGAAGCAAATCCCCGGTCCTGGCCTGGCTCCAGATGGCAAAGGGCTGCTAGCAGCTAGCTGTACCGGAAAATCGGTGGATGTTGGGCCTAAGGGTTTTAGAAAATCTTTTTAACACCTTCATTTCACCCCACTTTACAAGTGCAGAAACCGAGGCACAGGCAGAATGGTCGTACAACTGTCTGGATGATAGGTGCCGTCAAGTCAGGTCTGGCTCGCAGTGGCCCTGTGTCCAACAGAAGCTGCCCAGTCCCGCACCATCCTCACAGTTGTTGCTGTTTGAACCCATCAGCACAGCCCCTGTGCCAACCCAATGCCAAGGGTGGTCCTCTTGTTTCACTCACTCTCTAGTAAGCGTGGTCTCCAGGGACTGGTCCCACTTGATATGTCCAAAGTCTATGAGACAGTGTCTCCCCAGTCTTGCATCTCAGGAGCATGCTGCCCGAACTTCCTCCCGAGACAGAAGTCTTCTCTCTTCTGGCAGCCCCTGGGGTATTCGGTGTTCTTCCACACTGAGACTGGAGTGCCTCAATCCCGCCTCGGTCTGCCTTGTCGGCCAGCTTCCACACGCAGCTGGGGTGATGGAAAGGATCATGGCTTGGCGCCGTGTCCTCAAAGTGACACCTTCACTCTGGGACACTTTTAAAGGGGTCGTTTGCAGCAGGTTTACCCACTGCGAATATGTATGATTTCTTGACTGCCTTCCATGGATATTAATCATAGGTCCAAGCAAGGTGAGATCCTTGACGCCTTCCATCTTTTCTCGGTGTATCACCATGTGGCTCATTGTTTGAGGTGTAATCCCTCCCGAAGGCTGTAGTCATGGATCTGCAAGCGTGCTCACGCTCACACTCATGTTCAGCAAGGAACCATGTCTGAACTGCAAACCTCTTGCAGTCCCGCTCAGAACAGATTCGTGTTGGGGGTGGAGGGGAGGGATGTGTGCACAATTCAGAGTATATCTAAAAACATGGACTTCTACATTTTATTTATTGGAATTCTGCATTTTAAAAGGATAAGTTTTATTGTTTTGTTTGTTTGTTTGTTTCATTGCTGAGACTTGACAGCAAAACATGCAGCTAGAAAATCATGTTTCTCTGTGTGGTGTAGTGCCGGGCTGCATTCTTGGCGATGGACACCCACTCTGTCTTCCATTCCTGAGATGCTCCTCTGCCGAGCTCATGGCTCCGTCAGCGTCCCATCTAGTCTCTCATGTTTCTGTGGTCACTTTGAGCCCATAGAGAGCTTTTTTAAAAAGCACCACACTCAAGGCTTGTTGTTAGGAGCCATCAAGCCCTTAGCGACCCTGTGCTCAACGGAGGGAAACCCTGCCCGGTCCTGCGGCATCCTCACCATGGTGCCTGTGCCTGAGCCCAGGGATGCAGCCACTGTCTTTCTTCTCGGGAGGGCCGTCCTCTCTTTCGCCGCCCCTCCACGTTACCAGACACGCTGTCCTTCTCCAGGGACTGTCTCATAACAATCTATCCAAAGTACTGTATGTGAGACCAAGTCTCGCCATCCTTGTCTCTAAGGTGCTCTCTGGCCTTACTTCTTCCAAGACCAATCCGGTTGTCCTTTTAGCAGGCCATGGTACTTTCAGTGTTCTTCTCCAGCACCACAACTCAAAGGCATCGGCTCTTCTTCAGCTTCCCTTATTCAATGCCCAACTTTCACATGCATCCGAGTGATTGAAAAAACCAGGGTTTGCTTTTCGTCCTTGCTTTTCAATACTCTGAAGAGGCCTGGGCAGCAGAGTTACCTACTGTCTTTTGAGCTCTTGACTGCTGCTTCCATGAGCATCGATTGTGGATCCAAGTAAGAATAAGTCAGACACCTTCAAACTCTTCTCTGAATTCATACTGAAGGCTGCACCCCTTGATCTTCAACGGCAGGTGACTCGAGTTCTCATTTTCAGCAAGTTAGGTTGTGTCGTCTGCCTATTGCAGGTTGTGAATAAGCTCCAGGCAGACATTCTTTATTAAGTGTTAAACTATTATATGGTTTTAACACTTAAGGGAGTGCACCTCCTTTTTTTTTTTGTTTTAAAGAACTCCCTGTGAAAGCCTGTCTCCCCAGAGGCAGCTTCCTCGGGCCAGTGGCTCTGACGTTTGACCTTGCTCTCCAGGAAGCAGTGCATTTTGTAGCATCGACTGTATATGGTATTGGGTTGTGATTCCTAATGTGTTGTTTCATTGTGAGTCAGTCGTGGTTAAACGTTTTGAGAAGCCACAGTTCGGGTCTAGGGAGCGCCTTGCTTGGGGGGAAGTCGTGGCCTTTGTCTTGGTGGGTAGGCACCCTGAGTGCCCAGTGGGATCATCGCAGGATTGACCAGAGGCTCTGTCCTGCTCTGTTGTTTTTTCCAACTATAGCGACCCGAGTGTGCAGAGTAGCCCCGCCCTCCCCAGAGAGTAAGGCCTTCCAGGCGCAACTCACCTGGGCTGGCTCCTCAGGTGCTGCCTCTGGTTTGGCCTGCCAACCTGTCAGCTAGCGGTTAAGCAGTGAGCCATTTTGTACCTCCCCAGCCCAGCTGGCAGCACTTTAAATCACTATTGCCTTGATCGTCTGTAATAACCCTCTTTGTTCATTCACTCATCGAGTAAGTGCCCATTGTCCTGAGCGCTCAGGCCTAGGTGCCTTGGCTCTGTTCTGGGTGCTTAACCTATCTATGCAGGGGGCAAACCCCCTTCCCTACTGCAGGAGGGCTGAGTGACTGCCCGAGGCCCGCACGCTCCCGTGCCCTGAAGCGGTACAAAAGTGGGGCTGGGGAGCAAGCAGATGGGTCCGGTTTGTGTGTCACTGCCCCTTGCGGGCTCCCCTCTTGTGCCTGTCCCAGCGCTCCTCAGCCTCCGCCTCTGAGTCACTTTTGGTCATTGAGGCTTCCTTCCCTCCAGCACTGCCACGACTCTCCCAAAGCAGGGGGCCTCGCCTGCCGGTGGTTTCCTCCCCAGTCACCCTGGACAGTGTCCGCAGACATTTCCGAGGGCCTGGTGTGGTGGCCTGGCTGCTGGGGAGACATCCTGCACAGGACACTGTCACGAGGGCCAAGCCTGAGACTGCTCTCTCCCCACAGAGCCACCCTCCTCCAGGTGCGCGACGCGGTCAGCAGCCACGTGGAGCAAGTGTTCCAGGCCTATGAGCAGCACGCCGCCGCCGCCAGCATCGAGGCCGTGCTGCAGCCCTCCGCCGTCAGCCCCTCTCTGGCCGACATGTTGGAATGGTTGCAAGATATCGAGCGACATTATCGAAATTCATATCCTTTGCACACGTTTTAGATCATGGCCAGGGCTGACCTCTAAGTCTTTTCCATTTCACAGATTACAGAAGGGGGTCGCTCGGCCCCGTCTCCTTGGCTCCTGACTTTGCATTCCCCCCGGGGTCCTTTGTCCGAGTATCGGACAGAGTACTGGACCTGTCAGTAATGGGCACTGCGCTAGGTGCCAGGACAGGAAGCCCTGTGGGAAAGCGTGCAGTAGGTCAGGCGCTGGGTGCTGGGGAGAAAAAGCAGGGACAAAGGAAAGGGGGGGGGGCTGTCATTTTGGGGCATGGTGGGCAGGGCAGGGGATGCTGGAACAAAGACCTGAAGAGCTCAGGGAGGTGACTACATGGATATGTGGGGAAAGGTGTCCAAACGGGACGTACCGTCCGTCCTGAGGTGGGAACATGCCTGTTCTTTTGGAGCCGGTATCCAGACCCAGTCAGACAGATGGGGCTGGACCGCGTAGGGGCTTGAAGGGCATTGGAAAGATTGTCGCTTTTCTTGGAGAAGGCAGGAAAGCCATGACGAGGTTCGGAGTAGAGGGGTGGCCTGAGTTTGGTTTGGTGCTAGCAGGATAAAATATGGAATCCCTAGAACCTGTCCCAGGTTTTCCTACTCCTGTTCCTTTGCTTGTGCTTTTCCTGTCATCTGGAACCTCCCTCATGCGTCCTAAGCTGGATGTATTTCTCTGGCCAACATCCACTGAGATTTAGCTTTTCTGGTTTTCTTCCCAGGCATCTTGGGGTGGGGTTGGGGGGAGTGTGTGCTTAGACTGCAGGGATAGCGTTTCACTCTCTGCTGTAGCCCAAGCAGTGCCAGTACATACTCGGGACTCTGCCCACGTGGACTCACTGGAGAGTACACTGGGAGGCCCTGGGTCAGGGAATGCTTGGCATTTTGAAGCCCTCGCCCACTTGGTGGGAGCAAGATGAGGCTGTCTGTTTCCATAAAGACTTACCACCTCAGAAAGCCTATGGGACAGTTCTCTTCTGGTCTGGAGGGTCGCTATGAGCCCAGCTGACCCTGTCCCAACAGGCTAGACTACCCCTGGAAGATTTTTTTTTCCAGCCTACTTAATTTTCTTTCTGACCGGTCCTTAACTTCCAGGCAGGTACCTGAAGAGAAAGTTCCTCCTCTCCTCTGTCCAGTGGGGAGACCTGGAAAGCATCCAAGCTTTGCCTGTGGCCTGGGACCAGATTTCAGAAGATGACCATCAAGATTTTGTGCAAGGTACTATTC